AAAAAAATTATACAATGTTACAACTTACACCAATAGCAACAGGTAGTAATTGTGGATTATTTTAATGTAGTCACTTTCTCACTTGTCGTTACTCGTTATTATGAACGTATATTTTATCGGATATTCTTAATGTATAATTTTCCTATGCTTGGATCTTGACTCGGTTATTTTAACACCAATTCGTTTAACAATTTCGGAAAATAATATTCAAATGACAAATGTTTACTTTAATATTGTTTGAGTATTTTCAAATATTATTAATAATATATTATAAGTCAAAACAATAATTTTAGTTTATAATCATTTATTCTTTAAATGTTGACGTAATTAAGCATTGAAATTAATTGTCTCCTATAAATTATTTAACATGCCTATACCATTAATAATTATGCAGATTACGTTTTGGTGCATTATCTGCCGCCGTCGGTTTGTGTGTGCGCGAACTTTAACTCGGTCGCCTGGTTCGTTTTTTGTCATACGTCGTCGCGTAAAGATCAAAACGGCCGTTATATTGTTATACTATTTTTTTTTTTTTTTATATAAGTTATATTTATTGTGTGTACAAATAGCCACTTTTTATATTTATTTGAATATTTTTTCTGTTATTTTTATATATTTCTATGTATACCTACTCTTTGTGTTGTGAAATTATTTATTATATAGTTAGGTAGCAGCTGGCCAGCCTGCGCTCCACAAATTGTGAGTTTTTGATTTATTATTATTATTTATTTATAATATATTTATTATTTACATATATTATTGGTTTGTTCTGCTTGGCTATAGAGGCCGTGCGTACACAACCTTTATTTTTTATACAGTAAAACCTGTGTAATATGGAACCTGAATAACGTGGAAACCTGACTTTTATGGAAAAATGTTACGGTCCCGGCGAACCTAATGTAGTTTTAAATACATCGTTCCCTGAATAAAATGGAACCTGTTTAACGTGGAAATGGAAACAATATTTTATCATGAACCTGTATATAATGGAAATATGTACATGTACTATTTTAAAATTATCAGTCAATGAATATAATCTATAACAATTATATAGATTATTTCGTTGCAATAAGTTTATTTTATCGATAAGTGTCGTAGTAGTGTTCTGACGTATATATATATGAAATAAATAAATTAATAATAAATAATAAATTACATTTGATAAAGATCTATCGGGAAAATTTTTTTTTTACGACCTGTATTAAATGGAAACCTGTCTAAAATGAAAAAAATATCCGGTCCCAACGGTTTCCATATTACACAGGTTTTACTGTATTAATATTATATCATTATATTTATAATATTTATATTGTAGCTCTAATAGCTTTATACTCTTATATATTGATGAGTTAAAGGGGCCACATATTATTATTATATTAATTATTATACTTTATTAATTTATTATTTATATATATTATATTTAGATACTTATATCTTTTTTTACACAATATTAAAATAAATGATATTATAATAATTAATAGTGATCACTAGTTCGATGTTAAAATAATGTTAATTAAAATAAATGAATAAAAAATAATTAATCAAAAAAAATTTAGGTTTTAAAAAAATTTGTTTGGTTTTAAAATTTGGTTTGATAATGTTTAAATGCAGCTTTGACGAATTGTATAATGGTAATATTGTTTGCCTTAAATGACGAAAAAATACGTATCGGTGGAGTTTACATTTTTTTTTCAGGTAAAAAAAATGTATCGGTGGAATTTACATGTTATAAATCCAACCCTAAAATCAACTACCTGTAAATCGGTGGAGTTTACAATCGCCCATTCTTTTGCCTGTTGGGTCAAAAAAAGCCGTAATTATTATCAATTTTTATACCATCAATTGAATTACCATTTAAATAAATTAAGTTACCTATTGTCATTCACACACCCACAAATATACACACATACAAATACCACACACATACTAACACTCACAGGATTTGCTCTGCGACCCTGTCCACTTCCTGTTAAGTGCTATACATATATACACGTAAATATACTTACAGGTAAATCAGTGCGGGGCACCTAATTGCGTCTCGTGAAAAAGGTACACATGAATTGGGGAATCGTAAGTTCCTACACGAGAGTAACTGGTAGACAATTACATACGTTAATTCTTACATATGTGATGTGTTAGTTCTTACATGAAAAAAAAAAAAGGTACGTATGTTAGTTCCTACATGACGGAAGACAGGTACATATGTAAGTTCCTACATTAAGTATAATATAAGTTATCAATCTACGTCTATAAAATACTGTCATACATTTTAACCTTTTATTCTATATAATATATAATTTATAAGCTATCTATCTAATTTAATTTAATAATTTTAAAAATAATAATTGTAATATAATAATAATTCATAACTGTAAAAAAAAATATAAGTAACGTATTCTATATAATAATAATTCATAATTGTAAAAACATAATATAAGTAACAGTAACGCATTCTATATAATAATAATTCATAATTGTAAAAACATCAAATATTATATAGAGTGCACCACTACTTGTATTTTTTTATTACAATAAATGATAAATTATTATTATATTGTATGGTAGTAATATAATATGACATAACTGATATTAGATTGATAACTTATAATACCCCCTTAGTGTAGGAACTTACACATGTACCTGCTTTTTACTGTGTAGGAACTTACATATGTACCTTATTTTATCGTGTAGGAAATAACATATGTATCTTGTTTACCTGCTAGGTCTCGTGTAGGAATTTACATTCGCCCCATGAATTGCGTCCCACTATATGTTGGTTAGGTAGCAGACATTTTATTTCGTTTTCAGCGATTCTCTGGGGTGCATTAATTTTAAGGGAGCTTGAGCTCTGATACTATGTTTCAAAGATGCTAGTTAGAAGCTCGCTAATTTCAATACGTAAATTTATAGGATACAACGCCGAAACAACATTTTATTTGTTAAAAATCAAATACAAAAATTAAATGAAGTAAAATAACAAGGTTAGATTTTGTAAAAAGGTTATATAATAAGTATAAACTTAATTTTTTACTGAAATTTTGATTAATAATATTATTATTCTTTATTTATTTATTATATTATGCACCATGTTGATTTTAATTATATCTAAATCTAAGTGATTTAAAGTTTACATATACTTTTTATTTCATTTGATAAACAATTTTTTGAATGACTTGTGAGTTGTGATTATATTTATAATTTATTGTTATTTATTTATTTTTGTTAGTTGTTTAAGATCCCCTGACTAAAATACACGAATTGCGACCTGGATTTTTAGGATTGCAATTCGTTTATACTTTTTTACGGGACGCAACTCATGTGCTCCCGGTCGGTGTGTAGTATTAGGGCATACGAAGTATTTTACATAATACAAAGTATACATAATCATATGCTCCTAGCCCGCACAAACTGTTTATACGCCACTTTAATTATTTTAGTTAATTTATTGTATTTTAAAATGTATTATTCGTAGACATCACTAACATATTCAGTATTCACACAATTCTGCGATACCTCGATAATTACTATTCAACATTAATTAATAAATTGTAGCTACCAGCTGATTAATAAAATAAGTATTAATAATATAAATGTAATACAAAATAAACTATTCTTTAAAGTAACTGCACATATGTTGTGTAAATGTGCGTGTATAGTAAATAATTGATATACTGCGTCAAGCTCATAGCGACGGGTGGCAAAGGGGGGCGTTGCCCCCCCTAAAAATATTACCATAAAAATTTAACCATGTGACATTAGTGTAATATTTAATTATCTATGTAAACTTTAATTTAAGTTTTATTTTTATTATTTAGTTTTATTCGTTTTGTATTTTTAAAATAAATGATTCATTGTAAATTCCCAAAATATTCTATTATAAATGGATATTAGATGGAAAATTACGGTTGTGTTAATTTAATGAGATATTAGTGTAAATAAATTAAAAACTGCATTAATATTGTTTTAATATATAATGCCCTCCCCAAAAAATTTGCTTTGCCCCACCTGAAAATTTGGTTAGTCTACGGGCCTGTACTGTGTGTAATAGGCATTCGCATGAGAGCAGCATATTATGCTGCATTACTGCCCCTAGACTATTCTAATCGGTTGCGGCCACTAATGATTAAATTCTACGCGTCTACATCTCCCCTGAATCATAGAAATTTTGAAATTCTTTCCCCTTAATAACTAGTAAAGTAACCTCTCCCTCCAAATTATAAATAAATTCAATTCTTAATTTTTATTTTTTTTACCAATAATTAGCTTGTAATTGGCATGAATTAGCGAAATCTATTTCGAAAATGTTCATCAAATCACTAATTTTCAAATATATTATGTACTATTGAAAAATGGGCATGATTAATCTACCTTTTTCACATAACCCAGAATTTAATCATTAAAACACGCATGTTAAAGCATTTGGTGAGTTAGTAACTACAACTTAAAATATAAAACCGTTTGGGTATATAAAAAAAGTTATAATAAAATAAATATTTAAAAAAATTGTCAGTATTCTAAATAATTTTTTTTAATGAATTTGAGTATTTACTCAAACACATTAAATAAATTAAGTATTCTGTACAACCTTGTTAAATTGTGACTAATGACTAGGTATTATAATAAATTAATAATTTCTTGTTTATAAAAAAATATAATTTAAATAATATTTATGTATATATTTACCAGTAATACTTATAATTTCTTATATAAACTAAAAAACTAATGGTTTTTTTTTTTTTTATAAACATCTCAATAAATATATTTATAATAAATAATTATTTGTTACAACATTAGTACTAAAAATTTAAACATAGATCAATAAAAGAAAAAAATTAATAGAAAAACAATGTGTGACTAGAATTAATAATATTAACATGTGTATATTATGTAATATTATAATGCAGCTAGATTACATTACTTAGAACTTTAACAATTACTTTAATACACTATAATACTACATAATTACATATATTATATATATAATTAATACATATATTAGTTAATAATGTTCTGATAATTTATTTTACTGTTTAATATTTCTTTAAATAGACACTATATGTAAAAGCAATTTAGTGAACTTATTAAAGATCATAAAATGGTTGATAACAGTAAAAAATATTCATTTAATATTAATCTTTACTTTTCAACAATAAAAAGGTTTATAAAACAATTTTTTATGTGAATTCAATTTAGTACTTATTTAGCAAAAGAATATAATATAATCAAGGACGAGTTCCACATGCTTCTTTGTAGTTGGAAGCATTGAAAGTGGTAAAGTAATCGTCATGTATGAACCTAATTGCATACTCTATTGGACATAGATGAATTGAAGAGTCTATCCAACTACCTGAATGATTTTTACAGAAGGCCACTAATTGAGTTACATCTTTACCATTGAAAATTACTCTAAAATAAAAGTCTCTGCCGGGATAAGTGGTGTCAACTGTATTGTTACGATACACTTCAAACACTAGACGGGAAGCATAGTGCGGTGACATGGTTTGGGCATTGAGAACTCCAAAGGCAGCCAATAGGTACTGAGCAGTCAAGTCATGACCTGAGTATAGGACCAAACGAGGTTTACTTTCAGATACCATTTTCAACAAATTCATGGCAATATTCAATGCAAAACCATATGACTTTAAAAGTCCATATTTTCGCAACATCCCATGTTTAGCATAACGTTCCAAGTCCCAGTCTATATAGCTGAAAAGCTGTTTAACGTTTTCATGTGTTATACAATCATCTTGATAACAAGGTAATGGTGCTCCATGACATACATATGTCATAATAGAATCTTTTAGTAAGTAAGGGTCTACTCTTACACTACTGGTCATTAGATGCACTATATTATGTATGCGTTTGAGCATTTTTTCTACTACTCTACGACTTTTTAACCGTCTTGCAGATGACTGTTTTATTTTCATTTGCAAGTTATTAACATTAAAACAGGCACAATGATCAAAACAGTAACTATAACTATCACTTTCCTTGAATGTGACTTTAGATAATACATCTGGTGACAGAATTGCATACATAAATGCCAATGCACTTTGGAATGTACGTCTATACTTGGTGCTATATATTATTATGTCATCAGAATTAGAAACACTAAGCAAAGGGTGGTACACGGAACGCAAGGTTCGTCCAAGCTTAAGCATTTGGGACACACCAATCGGGGTGAGCTGACTTATTGAACAATTGTTTTGTGGTGGATAAAATGGGTACCCATGAAAAGGACCTAAAAACTGTAATGACATGTTGAAGAATATGTTTTGTAAAAATTTTGTATAACCATTATACTCCTGATCAGGTTCCAAGCTGCAGTCTATATCAGCCATGTTCCGAACATGATTCATTGGTCCACGATCTCCATGTCTAGTCAGTATTATTACACCTTGAATTGTAAGACTATTGTTTAGCAAGCCTATAAACATACATAATAGAACAGTTAAATGAGCTTTGTATAATATACATTATTTTGTAATATCTATATAAATACCAATATCTCCTTCATCACCACGTTCGATTAAATGAGGAGGATTACACACTCTAGTGAGTTCATTGTAATCAATTCTGGACACAGGGCTTTTATACTTGAGTGCTGAGTTTTCAGATTTATTTATAGTCTTATTATCAGGTACAGGACGATCAGAAATCTTGAAATACAATACTGAAACAGTTAAAACAGTTTTAAATTTAAATGTAAAATCATCAACTAGCAGAATGTTGAAATGTAACTTGGAAAAAGAATGCACAGCCATATGATCAAATAGACTAAATATCGATGCCGAGCCACATTTCTGACGGTCACTGCCTGAACGTTAACCATGGTAGTTTATTCAAATGTCCAGTTGTTTCTAGGAATGACCTACCATCAATACTTGCATTCGCATTGTTTCTATTGCTACCTCACTTTCAATGATGGTAAGTTAGATATGTTGTCAGTTTAAAATAATTTGCATTATCTAGCTGGCTTACAGAAATTTTTGCCCCCGCCTTTTTGTATCCAAGGACCATATTTGTTGCATGTATATTGTCAATAAGTACATTATACATCATGCCATTGTCTTTCAGAGTTCTTTGGTAGAAATAGATAACCATAACGAACTTTACATTTTTAGTGAGATAATTCTTGAGCTCTAAATTTCTAATGTTACTCAGTTTCTACATAGTGTCACTCATTGAATTAAAACTGCAAATTAAAATTATAATTTGACAATTCACAGTATGCATCATGCAAAGCCACATTAGTATTAATAATTATACATTGATATTATTCATAGACGAGTATACTACAATTTAAAACTATTAAATAGATACCACAATACAAAATATTAATACTACACAACATTCTGAACATTCTGTGTAAACTGTAAAATGTAAATACTAAAATTTAGTACTATTTAATAGTAAATAAATATTATGATTCACGAATTCGTGATAACTATGTTTCCTACTTTACCATAGCTTATCAATTAGTTGTTTTATCACTTATCACACTGACGAAAACAAACATGGTTAATTTCATAGTTTCATACATTCTGTCTTCTGTGGTCAGAGTTGTATTCTGTGATATTATCAAAAAAATAAATTGATCAATTGAGCCAATTGAGGTAATAACTAATAAGATTAATAATTGTGAGTCAAGATGTAATGGTGTATACAAAAATATTCTTATTGTTTTTACCTACTTTCATATTTTAGTATGTTGTCAATTTGTCAAGCATATCTTCCATCATAATGAGATTTTCATGACTTATATTTGTTAATTGTTTGTATAAATCTAGAGTATAGTTGTGTAGATTATCTCCCATGGACAAATAATAAATCTTTACTACAATCATATAAAATTAATAATTTGTTTATTGTTAAATTATTACTTTTATGATTTTTCATCATATGGATACTTACTTTTTATTGTTCTTAGTCTTTTGTGTTAAATTTGTATCAATAGTTACATAGAAAAATTACAAAATGTATGTTTATTATAAAGATTTAGCTTCATAAAATATCTATTATCCTTATAGATATAATATATTGGTAATTTCACTTTACATTACATCTATAGATTTATATTTAATAGATCAGCCAAAACAGATTAAAACTATTCTAATACAAATAAACACTGTGATTTTATTTAAAAAAATGTAATACAAAATACAAAGTTATAATTTAATGTACATTCTCTATTTTTAATATCAATTTTTACTATCCTGTAATTATGTGTAATTATGTCTTTCTTCAAAAAAAGTCAAAATCTTTATAAATTAGCATTAAAGTCAAAAACGTTAAATATAGTTTACAAAAGAGCCTTAAAACAATTAAAATTTTTTTTTTTAGTATAAAATAAGAAAATAAGGATTAGAAGAGCTTACCTTTATAAAACAAAATCACCATTTTTATTGATGATACTATAGTGTGAATATAAAATAAAAATGATTAGGTACCTACCAATAATTTATTAAGAATATTATTTATTTATTATTTTTTTTTTTTTGTCTCAGATTAAATCGTATTTGAATTATATGAAGTGAAAATCAAAATAAAATGAACAGTACCCTACTTCCCGATAATCTAGAAATAAATTACAGAAACAATCATTATAAACGTGAGTATTAAAAGAAATTGAAGTATTATGTGATTGAATAATACTCTATATGTCTTTAATTTTTGTTCTATTTATCAGATGCTCAAGATGTATTAAACAATATTATTTGGTGTTCTATTTGTAATTTAGACTTGAAACAGAAAATCATCATGAATAAAAAAATTATGCTTCATAGAAAGTTTTTATGTCTCTGTTGTAAAGTAAGTGTTACTACAGTGAATTTAATCACCTACCTATCAGACCTGGCTTGAGGGGTAAACAACCTAGGTCCACACTTAGGATAGAATTTAACTTTTTTGTATTTTACATAATTTATAAATATTTTATATGTAAGGGGCGGAAATACTCAAGTTTATCTAGGCGTGTTTAAACATTTGAGCTGGGCCTGCTACCTTTAATTATTATTCACTAATATTTAGTAAGTACTTCAAATATTATGTTCAGATTTAAAAAAAATAAAGTATGACATGACAAGATTGGGAATTTTATAAGTTTACATTAAGTAACAAAAAGCAGTATTATTAATAATTCTTATTGTAACAAAACTTTTTTTAATTTTATTACATGTAATTACTTTAATAGTTTTTTTAATAATATGATTGTTAAAATTAAATTAATTATAGTTTTTTTAAATTTTGTTTATTTTTTCAGAATTGTTTTGAAAAACTATCTGATTCCAAAAATGGATGTATATTATGTTCTCTGAATACCAAACTTAAGACATGTGAAATATGTAATAGCAGTATGTGCAAGGTAAAATTTTTTAATTGATCATGAACTATTCATTTCCCTTTTCATGTTAACTACTAAATATACTTTTTGAGCTATCCAAAACAAATTTAATAAACTTTTAAAATTAAAAAGATCAATACAATTTAAAAACTATGAAACAATGCATTTTAAAACTTTACCATGGTGGCTATATCCCAATATTTCGAGAAGAATCACTAGTTTTTAACTCCAGTTCTAGTAATCTCATAAGCCCACTAAATATCTTAAATATCCCAATAAAATTATGTAATTAAAATAATTTAAAAAAAAAACAACAAATAACAGTTTGTTTTCAATATTCAATTAAGTGCCTACTGATAATTGCTCCCTATGGCCTATAGGCACTTAGATTCTTATAACACTTTCCTTGTATTACATTAACTTAATCAATTAAAAAATGTTTTATTATTATAACTGTTTGTATAATTGTATGTATAAAATATATTAAATTTTATTTTTTAGAGATGTATAGACAGTTACTATATAAAGTCAAAACGTTCAAAGAATTTGAAAAATTGTTTAGGCTGTTCATCAAGTGTTTTATGGAGTCTTAGATCTCAAGCAGCTGCAGTTTTAAAATGTTTTTCACTTGAACTGTAAGTTGAAAAAAAATATATGTCTCATCAATTATTTATCTTGTATTATTTTACAACAAATTTTGTATTTTAATACAAAGTAGTGCAGTTACATTCTAAAATAAGTTTTTTTAAGGAAAAATGGATGGATGAGTATTTAAATACTCAGCAATTAAATTAGTGCAATAAAACATTTTTTAATAATATTATTTATGTTACTAAGAATAAAAATGTAAATTAAAAGCTGTTGTGCATGGATAGTCAAATGGTAGTTTGCTTCATGTCTGAAAATTATTCAGTGCATTGTTGAAGTTGTATAATAGATACAAATGATCTACCAACTATAAACTAAATATTATTTATAATAATACTAAATTTTGATAGGTTTTCATTTTTTTTAATTATTCTGAAATTTCTTTGTTTTTTTAAAACATTTTTAAATTCATAATACTCATAAGATGAATTAACATTTGATTTTAAAATGTTCAACTTATATTTATTTAGAAAATAACTTATCAAAAATGCACAGAAATATACTTCAATAAATAAATTGTGTATTAAACCTATAATTTACTTCCATTTGTAGAATTACATATAAGTATTTGTATATAAAGCAAAGGCTAACTAAAATAATCTAACTTTCCTTCTAAAATATTTCCATTGGAACCTTAATTAAAATTTGTAGAAATACACAATAAAACTTTAAATTACGTTAAAAATAATTTTATTTTTTTTAATTTCTGATAAAAATTTCTTTTTTTAAATGTTGTATTTTGTGTATTTATATATTTTAGTATTCATGTTATTATTTATTATATATGTTAATCTCTTTCTGTTCTTAAACTTTTTTTTCTTTATCAACTTAAACTTAAATTATAAATACTTATATTTTTAAAAACTATAATATAATGTAATTATGATTAGAGGCGCTATTTCAGGTTTTTTTTTTTGGATGTGCTAGGTTTCAAGCAGGCCATTTTGAAAATTAGCCATGCCATATAAAAATAGATATATGTATGTACATTATCCTGCTTTTAATTATTTCCACACATTGCATGGAAAGAATCATTGTATTAATATATAAATAGTAAAAATCATTTTAAAAACTAAAAAATAATAAATAATTAACAATTATAATAATTGACAGTACACCAATGTTAATAAATGTCAATATAAAAATTAAAATACAATTTAAGAAGATTTAATTTTGAACATTATCTCAGCAGGGCGCAGACCAATTAGTACTATTTTAAAAATAAAGGGTGCAACCGCACATCTTGATCCCTCAAAAGATGCCCCTGCTTATGACTCAGATAAAAAATAAATATTTTAACGCAAGATTTTTAAAAATAAAACATTTTTAATCTTAATATTAAAATATATATATATATATATATATTGTATTTGCATTAATATATTATTTTGTATAAAAATGGATGTTATTAATTAATTATAATTTTAGAGATACTAGGCTTTTGTTAAATGGTGAAGAATCTGAAAACAAACAAAATTTACGTGAATTCATAATAAAGTCAGCAATATGTGATGAAAATTTTTCTCAAGAAGATATTTATCAAATTAGAGTTTTCAATTTAAGTAACTTATTAAATTCAAAAATTAGATCATTGTTAAATAGATATCAAAAATTACAAACAAAAAATGATGAACAATGTCTAATTAACTTTGAAGGATTATGTGAAAAAATATTAGTTGATACTTGTTCACTTTTATTTGATTCTCAATTTTTGTTCAATGATAACATTATTGAATCATTAAATAACAAAATTAAATCAATCATGATTAATGATATGTTGTTGAAAACAACTGAAAATGATTCAAATAAATTCTTTAAAGATCCCCATTGCAGAGATAATTTAATAGAACATACCGAAGATAAATTACTACAAAAATGTAGTGTTTTATTGGAAAAAATGGACAAAGATATTGAAAAAAAATATTTTTTAAAGAAGGTAAATATGAAATCACTAATTTAATTGCTGTTCATAATAACAATAAATATTAAGTTTTTTTATTGATAATAATTGATTTAATAGTATTATCATTGATTTTGTATTAGACTATTATAAATTATAAATTATTTATTTCTATTATTTTTAATTCTATCGAAGATATAACATTTTTAGGAATATAATATTAACAAACCTAATAATAAAGGTCCATTCAGTTACAAAAATGAATTAATGGAAATACAAACTGATCAACAAGAAAACAATTTAAATCTCACATTCCCCATAAATGTAAATAATGTATCTCAAATTTCACTAAAAGAATGTACAGTGCGATTAGAAAGGCTTGATGAAAAAATTCTAAGCCACTGTATTGGTCAGAAGTATAAAGATAAGACAATCAAAAAAACTGCAGATAAAACCAAAACAAAAATGAAGATCATCAAAAAAAAAAATGTCTTAAAAAACAGCTCTTCAAAACATAAAAAAA